TAATTTTCAACTATTTGAATGTGTTTTATCTTAATCATTCTTTATATGCTTTTTCATATTTTAATAGATTTTCTTTTTGTATCTTTTTATTTTTTTCTAATACTTTTTACACCACTCGGGACTTGTCTGGTTAGAACGGTTGAATCGACCGATTTACTGGTTAAGCTGATTAAACCGCTTCCAAACCTATGTCCGATTAACTGTTCCGGTTCAATTTTACAAAGACTGCTCTTGACCGGTTCAACAACTTATCATGATAGCTATGTCATGGACTACAATATAGGGAACACCAAAAGAAACCCAATACCAAGCATAAGTAAGAGTATTATTACAAAATATTTTGCTTTTGTTATTCGCTTTATGATATTTTGCTTTTGTTAGTCACTTTATGCAGTTGAGTTTTTTTTCCTACAGCACAAAATTCGCTCCTTGCTTAGAATGAGCATTATGGTGGGCGTTAAAGACATGATTGTATTTATTTACTTGTTTGTTTAACATTAGGTTGACATCCATTATTATCAATTGGCCTTTGTACTGTTGAGGGATGAGGGATGTGGTCCAATCAAATTGCATTCGATTGTTGGTAAACTAGTTGGATCTTATTTTAAAAGATATATAAGAAAAATAAGAATAATAAATGAAAAATATACAAAAAAATCATTTACCTTTGGTATAAGATGGTCACAATTCATATTGACAATTGAATGTGAAATTGGATGGTTGCATTTATTCCAATGACCACACTCAAACTTCAAAAGAAATTTTCTCGAGCTTTATAATACACGTAAGCTATTAGATTTTAGATTGGATGATTATAAGTGATTGTGACTTGTATCAAAAGTAAATGGTCTCATCATATACAATCTTTAAACAAAATTCTCAAATTTGTTTGGCTGGTCAAACCAGTCAAAACCAGATGATCTGATTGGTCAAACTGGTCAAACACTAATAATATGAATAAGCTTTCAACAAAATTAAGTTTTGGCTCTTGATCACAACACCAAGACTTCAAGGGTCCAACCGGTCAGACGTGGTGGTCCGATATGGTCATAACAACCATGTGATATGCTTTTTATATGCACTCATATTTTAGTACGGAGCACAAGTGAAAACAACTTGAGGCGAATGATCTTGTAGAAACATTGCATACAGTTTATTTGTAAGAGTGATCCAACCGCTGGATCCCACAATATCAACACAGTTGGATGGAGATCGTGGACCTTTTCCTTTATCAATTCTAGTTGGAAAGCATATGATTGCCAAGGCATCTATTGCCCTAGCTTAGCAGGTTATTATGCTGTTTTCCCTTTTATTCTAGCCAAAATATATTCTACTCTTGCAGGAGTACAATGTCTATTTACTCTCTCGAGTAAAATCTCACTTAAAATTAATTTGAGGACTCAAATTTTGGGGGTGTAATATCTTTAATCCATAGATTAACCTCAATAAAAAAAATTATTCCTAGTTGTAACCTCTATGCACTTGAAAAAAAGGGTGTGGTTTGTAAAAGGTTGCAATCTTAAACAATCAAAGTAAGGTCCACCTCCACACTTTATCATTATGTCAAATTTTTTTAGGGAGGTGCAATAATCTATTTTATTTCTAATATAAAACTTTAAATTTAAAAAATAGTCCAAATCAAGTACATATATAAGTGCATAAAAATCTTAAAAATGGATGGTCTAGATAATGAGTTGCTAACTATTTTTAGGATCTGAAATCTATTTTTTCTCCTTATCTATATATCTCAATGTCTAGATTATCAATTAGATGTTTTTTCAACATCAAAACAACATTTTTCAAAGGATTTTAGAGGTGCACCTTAATTCTACATGTTAAGGTGTCAACCTCATACAAATTTTTTTTTTGAAACAAAATAATGTTGGGAGATCGAATAAAAACCATTTAATTTTTAGATGGTGATATCAAGTGTTAGAAAAGTTAAATTTAAATTCAAAATTTTAATATAATCATCTAGTAATTCTTAAGTGGTTCTCAAAATTTGATATTGAAAAAATCTTTTCCAAGTAGGTCATCTGACCAAGGAAGTAACAGTAAACTATGCTCCCGAGAAAGAATAGTACATGTGCTCTTTATTTTATCTTTTTAACTTTGGAAAACGTTTATATAAGGTTGCAACTGTAAAATGTAGAAATACAAATGCACCTCAAAAATCCATTAGAAAAAGTTGTTTTAATGTTTAAAAACCATCTAATTGATCATCTCGACATCGAGATGCATGAATATGAAAAAAAGAAAAAGAAAATTGAGTACTAGAAATAGTGCATCTTGCAACATATTATCCAGACCGTTCATTTTCAAGATTTTCATATGTTTATTGAACTACTTGAGTTTAACCATTTTTGGAGTTTCAAATTCTATAATTAGAGATAAAAATAAATTTTAAAATAATCCTAAAATTTTTTTTTACCAAAATTACATGTTATGATAGAATTTGGAAGTGCACCTTAGGATTGTTTAAGGTTGCAACCTTATAAAAACCACACCCTTTAACTTTATCCTTTGCTAAATGAAACTTTTATTAAAGTTAAAAGAAAAAAGTCCTGGTTGGAAAGCAATTTTTCTACACAAACGTGTTCCACAATTTTAATCTTGCTATGATCATCAACTTGATTTTATTATTTAAACGAAAGAATTATGTGCTCGAGTGAGAGAAAAATTGTACATTATACTCCTTTGGGCAGAATCATTAGCTAGGGGTATTTTTAGGATCCCAAATTTTGAGAATGTCACTTAGTCAATACCCCAATCCACTTGAGAGGAAAATTGAATACGCATATTGGATCAACATAAAAATAATAAATAATAAATAATAAATAATAATAATTCTAAACTAATGGGGAATTGGGTCTTTTTAGTGAAAAAAACGGTATAGATATTGGATGTCGGAACCCACTCGCCCAATTTAGAGTTTGGACATACTAATTAAAAAAACAAGTGGTCAGGTTCGATTTTTAAGTAAAAAACCGGTTCAAATATTGGATATCCAAACGGGTCTTTCGCCTTAAAAGAAAATTGACGAGTGGCTTGGTTTGTACAAACCTACTCACTTGTCTTTTTTTTCTTTTTTTTTCTTTTTTTTAAGTGAAAGACATGCTCTCACATTGGATGGTTTGAGCAAGCCCATTACAAAATAAGCAGGTTTAGATCTCTAATGTGAAATGGTCTTGAAAAAAAAATCCTAAATTTGGAAATGTTTGAATCGGCCTTTCATCAACAAAAAAGAAAAATCCCAATTCAGACATTAGATGTCGGATTTGGGGATCCCTTGGAAATCAAAAACCGTGAAAAAAGGGAACTTGAGAATGAAATACAAGATAGGGACTTCTTCAAATAGAGGAATTATAATAGAATTTTCGCTTAAATTTCCTTTCCTTAAGATATCCACGTCCGAACTATATATCTACAAGACCTTCATATGAATGACCAAAATACCAACTAGGCTTAAATATTCATTGCCTTTTAATTGCTTTGGCTTTTGGGCTTTACGAACCTAAAGGACGCAAATCAATGAGGTCGACGAGAGAGAGAGGGAGAGTATACTATCCAAGTAAGGTGCATCCCTAAATTTTGCCTTAAGTGATCAAAATTTTAAAATGGTTTGAAAATGCACTTTAAGCTTTAATTATTAATTTAAAATGTCAAAAAGCAGTGTGGATAGAGTTGATTTATAAAATACATAAAAATCTTGAAAACAAACGGTCCAGAGAACTTGTCAAAAAATATACTATTTTTAAGACTTGAAAATATTTTTATTCTTTATATTTACATATCTCAAAATCGAGATGATCAATTGGAACTTTATACCTTACTTCTATAGTACAACATTACAACCCCATATAAACTTTTTCCTTGATGGAACCTTCCATTTTTGTTATCATTATGTCATGCTTTTTTTTAGATGAAGTTTGTGTAGGGCCTAGGCTTTATGAAAACAAAATAAAGCCTCACCTCAAATCCTCGTCCCGAAAGCATTTTGAGAAAATGAAAATCTCTATGATAGCTCTACACACAATTTCTAACATCAACAATAAAATTTGGAACTAAAATAATATATAGATTTTGTGAATCTATGAACACTTATTTTTAGGGCGAAATGGATGGTCTAGATAATTTATTACAATACACAATATTTTCAAAGCTTGAAATCTTTTTTTTTTTTC